AGGAAAGATACACCACCATATCTTTTGTCTTTTGCATGTGGTGAGTATGCCACCCTCCAAGGGAAACCCAGATCTTTTTTTCCCCCCCTTGTTTTTGGCAAGGGCTTGACTGTGTCCTTTGAATGTGCATGAACTTTTCTAGGACTGGACCCTTCCTACATTCGAGCCAAAGACAAAAAAGAAATGAATATACCATTTTCAGATAGAGGGACAACTGTCCCGAGTTTCCTTCTGCCCGCCACTTGGAGGGTTATACGAGTGCTCTTTTCTTCCTTTTTCTTTTAATATTTTGAAGAAATTTTGGACCATTTCTCAGTCTATGCGTGTCGTCCTTGCGGAGGGGCCATGCTACAGGTGCCCATTCTTTACTACATGGCCGTTGGCAAAAAGCCAACGGCATACCAACGGGGCCAGCCCACTTTGGTACACCCATGACTGTTGAAATACAACCCAAGTTCGAAACCAGCTGCAAAAAATGACCAGAATAAAATAATTCTGAATCACCTGAGGCCACTCAGTTCAATCATTTAACGATGATATCTCCTGGGCGTTGCCCTTTGAGAAAAAAAAAGCCCAACGGCATAATTCAACCCCTTGCTATTCCCACAAACTGTTGAGATGCAGACCTGAGATCAAGCATTCCCCCCACAGTTTGTTTGTTTGTTCTTTTTCCTTCTTCCTCCTCTTCTTCTTTTTCCTTCTTCTTTTTCCTTCTTCTTCTTCTTCTTCTGGAAAATATAGTGGTTCTGGACAGGCATCCGCACAGGGGTTCCGGACGAGTCCGGATATTCCGCAATATTCCAGTTTTCCAGAAGTCCGGATGGTGCCAGGGAGTCCGGAATCCGGATTCGGTCCGGCGTAGCTATGCTTGTAAGGCTATACAGGGGACCCCTGCAAGCATAGCTTTCTACCTCTCTTCAGTGAAGGGAGCTAACGTCTCTCGGTGGAGAGAGGTAACGGCATGTTTGCCCCTTTGCCCCTAGTGTTTAGGGTACAGGGTTGGGGCCGCCAGTGGGGGCCTGACAAACACAAGGACCGAGCATTTGCCTGTAACTGTGCCTCACTTTTCATCTCCCCCCACCCCCATCGAGTAACAGCAGTGTCTAAAGCCAACACTCTCCCACACACCACATGCAACCCACTCACAGGCGCGCTCACACCCCTGTTGGCTAAAGACCTTTTAAAATGAGCCACGTACTCGTCAAGTTCCACCTCACATACATCAATGAGCATTAACATGAGAGTTCACAAGTGAGTGGCCAAACCGAGATACAATCAACACATGAAGATGTCTTCACAATCTCCGAAATTATTATCAAAATACAAGAAGGTTCGTCTCCAGCGGCTCTGCCGCACACACACACACAATGGGTCTCAACCAGATAGCGGCTATGGCTTCTCCCTTCTCTCTCTCTTAGTCTTGCTTCTCTCTCTCTCTCTCTCTCTCTCTCTCTCTCTCTCTCTCTCTCTCTCTCTCACCCCCCCCCCCCCCCCCCCCCCCCCCCTCCCCCCCCCCCCCCCCCCCCCCCCCCCCCCCTTAGATTGTCACCCTGGATACACCCATGCAGGCAAGCTTACACCTTAGCGGCTATGGCCGCCCTCCTACACTACCCTTAACCTAGGTATGGAGTAACTCGCGAGCGCCGTCTTCTTCTTCAGGCGCGCAGTGCCCAAGTTGCCTTAACGCACAAGCAGCAGCAGCGCTTCCGCATCTCGCAACTTGACAAGTGATGAGCCGCTGCACTGTAGCAGCTATATAGGACTTGGCTTCTCTTGGCTTAGCCCGCTTCAGACCGGTACCGGTCGGCCGCGGCCTGTCTGCTGCAAACATTTGGTCGGTCTGGTAGCTTCCGGACTTTCCTGCGACATGCTGCAAAATTGGTCTTGGGACTGCCAGACTGGACTGGACGCTTCCGGACTTTTCTTGCCGGGTACCGGACGGACTCCTACCGACCTACGATGCTTCGGTTCCAACACCTACCGACCTATGGCGTTTTGGCCTCAATACCCTACAGCCTACCTTACTGGACGGCCCTGGGACTTGGGACTTGTTGGGACCCTGGGACCGGGACTGGTTGTCTGCAGCGTGAATCCTTTCACTTTACTAACACCGGCTCGGAGGATCCAGCTGACTATCTCAGCTGGTTGGCACCAAGAGTGCCACAGGCGGTCATGGGGATTGAACCCACGACCTCCTGAATGCCACTTGCGTGCCGAACAAACTGAGCTAGGCCGCTGCCATATTTTCAGTGTTCTTTTTTCTTTTGAAAAAAGAAAGAAAAAAGAACACTACAGTATTTTCAGTGTTTTTTTTTCTTTTTTTCAGTGTTTTGAAATGCCTCTGGTAACTAGTGGAGCAAATCCCGTGGCCTAGCTCAATTTGTTAGGCATGCAAGTGGCATTCAGGAGGTCGTGGGTTCAATCCCCATGGCCGCCTGTGGCACTCTTGGTGCCAACCAACTGAGATAGTCAGCTGGATCCTCCCAGTCGGTATTAGTAAGGTCTTCAGTCAACACGGGTGTGGGTATGCATGTGAGTGGGTTGTGTGCGGTGTGTGGGAGACCGTTGGCTTTAGAGTCTAGACACTACTGTTACTCGATGGCGGTCGGGGGAAGATGAGAAGGGAGGCACAGTTACTGGCAAATTCTCGGTCCTTGTGTTAGCCGGGCCCCCACCGGCAGCCCCAACCCTGCACCCTAAACGCTAGGGCAAAGGGGCAAACATGCGGTTTCCTCTCTCCACGGAGAGAGGTAACCTCCATCCACCGAAGAGAGGAAGAAATCTATGCTTGCAGGGCTCCCGTGTATAGCCTTAGGAGTAGTGGTAGGTAGGTAGCGAAAGAAAGATATGTTCCATGACATGGCAGAACACCTGGGCAGTGCTAGTGGTGTCTGCTCTTATCAGCCCCTCTGGCACCTACTCGGGTTGTTAAAAAAAAAGAAAAAAGAACGCCAGTTAAAAATATGTAAGGTGAGCTGGGGGAATAGGAACCGGACTGATGCTCCCCAGAATGGAAAAGGAGCCAGGCCCACAAGGACCTGTTAAAAAAAAAAAAAAAAAAAAAAAAACCCCCAAAAATTTTGGGGAAAAAAAAAAATTGGGGGGGGGGGGAAAAAAAAGGGAGAAAAAAAAAAAGGGCAAAATTAGATAAAACTTTTCTTAAAAAAAAAAAAAAAAAAAAAAAAAAAAGAGCTACACTCATGGGCCGGCACAGCAGAGTTCAGTTGAGGCCCAGTTGCGGTACACTGCCTTATGCAAGCAGCAATTCTGTATGAGGAGTGCATGACTGGAAAAGGGATGTGGTCCATGTGGAGTGTTTCCAAGAAGGGCAAAACTTCAGAAAGCATCATGCAAGCACGGAGTGTTTTCCTTGTATAGATCATAGGAGAACACTGAGATCTTCATCCCAAGCGTTGCATTCTTTTTCGGTTTGCTTTCATGCTGTGTGTGTGTGTGCTTTTCAAAAACCCCAAATTTTCTCTCTCTCTCTCTCTCTCTCTCTCTCTCTCTCTCTCTCTCTCTCTCTCTCTCTCTCTCTCTNAAAAAAAAAGAGAGTAAGATGAGAGAAAAATATACGTCTGTCCCCCGATGAGGAGAAGGCAGCTTTAAAATAAAAAAAAGGAGAGAAAAAGTAGTGGGGCGAGGCCCAAGAATCAACGCCCCTATGCACTTGTATTCAAACATTCGTGGGCGGGGCCCATGCAGTGCAGCACCTAGTGGCGGACTGAAAGCACGACCAAGCCAAACATCTTGCCCCAAAAACAAAATGCTAACCTCTCCACCCTGCCGGGGATGAACCCCCAGAAAACGCACCCCCGAGAGGCCCGCACCTGTACATCGCCCTTTCCCGACAGGGCAGAGTCTCGCGTGGCCCCGTCATGCGACACCCGCTTATAAAAGTCGTGCCGAGGCCCATGCAGTGCAGTGCCTAGTGGCGGACCGGAAGCACAACCAACCCCCGCGGCTCGCCCCAAAAACAAAACGCTGACCTCTCCGCCCTGCAGGCAGGTGTCCACCCTGCCGGGAACGACCCCCCAGAGAAAATGAAACGCTCCCCCGAGAGGCCCGTGCCTTTCCCGCGCCCTTTCCCAAAGGGCAGAGTCTTGTGTGGGGCCGTCACGCGACACCCGCTTATAAAATCCGTGGCCGAGGCCCATGCAGTGCAGTGCCCAGTAGCGGACTGGAAGCACGACCAACCCATGCGGTTCACCCCAAAAACAAAACTCTAACCTCTCCACCCCGCAGGCAGGTGTCCACCCTGCAGGGGATGACCCCCCAGAAAAAAAAAGAAATGCTACCCCGAGAGGCCCGCCCCTGTCCCGTGCCCTTTCCCAACACAGGGCAGAGTCTCGAATGAGCACGTCACGCGACACCCGCTTCTGGTCACTATGAGGCCATGCTGTGCCTCTAGTGCCAGCAGCGTGTCTGGAGTGTATTTGGCTGTGACAGACCTTTCTTTGTTCCGTGGGTGTTTTGCTGGCTTGTGATGGGGTGTGAACCGACAGTATGTAGAGTTTTCCATCTGGTGTGGGTGAGTGATAGTCCACTTTCGTTTTCATCACAGGTACCTTGAGGGAAGTGGTTGGTGTCCAGCTCAGGGATCAGTTGCCGGGCAATCGTTGATGCTTAACCACAACCGGGGTTAAGGTGGATCATCACTTACAGTGTAATCAGTTAGGGGATTCTGCAGACTGTTGAGGGTTGAGCCTCCTGATGAATCGGTGACACTCCGACGAAACAGTTTGTCATTGCCCTTCGTTTGTTGTCCTCTTCTCCTACTCTGCCTACGGTTTACCGGGCAGTTCTGTTTGACGATATATATATAGAAGTATAGAAGAGGACCAAAGAGGTTAAAAAAGCGAGATCCTGACATTTCCGAACAGGAAAAGAGGTTCCACAAGCAAGACACTGACATTTCGGAGCAGGAAAAGAGGTTCAACAAGCAAGACACTGACTTTCCTGGATAGAGAGGGTACAAACTTCAGAGTAGGTGTGCTGACCTTGATTTGTCATAGCATATTGACTGCTGCAAGAATCCCAGTGGATCAGGCCGCATGGCTTGCACAAACATCTCCAAGGAGGTAATTCTGCTACTGAGATAGGGAATGACTGGCGGCACTTGAAGAACGTGGTGAAGAGAGATGAACGGCATTACCGAATGCGCTTCCAGCAGGCCAGACAAGCTATCGCCCAAGTCACATTGATGAAATCCCTTGGCATGTATAACATGCACCTGATGCAGTTGTGGTAATCATGAAAGTGCAATGAAAATGAGCGAGACTGAATGACCGAAAACCAGATTGCATCATCACATTGACAGCGAGATAATCCTGTGCTGAACAGAAAGCAGAATGCACCAAGTTACACACCATAAGAACAAAGCAATAAACTCAATCGACAATGTCAGCCCCCATCTCGCCTCCACCATAAATGTATCCAATGTCACTCTTCTATATGGTGCTCGGTGTCAGGACTACAGTCTCACAGCACCTATGCCTATCAATCTACGTGATGCAACCATGAACATTTCCGCAACAGCCCAACATACAAGAAAACGTCGCCCATGCAGACCTCCACTCAACACCAGGTACTTGTCTCTCTCCCTCTCACTCATCCCCTGTCTTGTCCCTCCACGGGCTCTACACATACACCCAGGACCACCACCGCCCCCACCGGGTTCCTACAGGAGTGGCCCGGCTATGGCCGTCCAGCTAGCTGCGCCAAGCGCACCTTCCCAGCAGCCGTGTGCGCTCTCTGGCCAGCGCCCTGCCCCGCGTTGTGCTCCCGCAGCGCTGTCGCACAAATGCCCAGCCAGCATGTGCTCTGGCGAGGGGCAGGCACTTTCCTTTATAGAAAGTGGCTGGCTCGGTAGCTGGTGAGGGCCTGGCCGGGTTGGCTCAACGCCTGTGTCCCAGTAGCTGCGCCCCAGGGCACTTCCAGAATGTGGCTGGTGCTCAAACTATAAAGGTCCTGGGCCTCAGCATCTGAGGCTGGAGGCATCGTCAACTATCGGGTCCAAACCGGTAGTTGAAGATGCTTGAAGGCAGCATCCAGCATGTGAGGCCCTTCTCGAACCTCACTCTTCAAGCAACCAACTCACAGGCTACGCCATGGCCTCAGCCAACCCGCGGGGCCTTTTTCCCTGCAGTGACTGTCTGGGGTCCTCGCTGCTTTCAGCCGAAAAATCCACGCCCGCCTTCAGTTAGGGCGGGCACATAGGGACTGGGAGCCACGACGAGGGGCTCTGATCCTCGCAAAAGGAAGAGGCAAAAATAAAAGACGAAATTTAGAATGAAGAAAGATGTATAGCATGGTAACCCCGGACCCGAACACCGGGCAATCCCGAACTGTGTTCCGGACCAGTGTCTGGACAGTCCGGACGATTCGGTGATCCGAACGACACCTGGACATCACCGGACCTGGACAGTCCGGACCAGTGTCAGGGCGTGCAAAATGTCCGGACCCCAAAAAAAAAAAAAAAAAAAAAAAAAACAGGAGAGGAGGGGAGGGCCTTTTGCCAGGCACTTAACTGCATTGCACTTTGTAGTTCAGGCAGCAGAGCACCTGTCTTGCAGCAAATCAACAACCACATTCAACTAGCAGACATGCAGAGTTGCAAACAGTGCAAAGCAGGCACAAGACTAAAGAAACAGAGAAAAAAAAAATGAAAAAAGTATGGTTAACTTTGAACTTTGAACTTTGAACTTCGAACTTTGAATTAAGGAATTTAAGTTCATAACTTCATATAACTTAAAAGTTTGAACTTTGCAGTTCAATTCAGAACGTCAGTCTTCAGACTGGCAGCACTGTCAGTGCTCTCTCTCTCTCTCTCTCTCTCTCTCTCTCTCTCTCGCTCTCTCTATCTCTCTCTCTCTCTCTCTCTCTCTCTCTCTCTCTCTCTCTCTCTTCTCTCTCTCTCTCTCTATTCTCTCTCTCTAATAAAGAGAGAAAGAGAGAGAGAGAGAGAGAAAAAGTTAACAACAGTCGTATTTTTCATCACCACTTCAGGACACCCTTCACCACGGCCTGCCTAAACAGGTGGTTTTCAGGGTCTTCGGACCTTTCACCACTTCAGGACCATTCAGGTATGAAAATCCTGAATGGTCCTGAAGCGGTGAAAGCTCCGAAGGGCATGAAAACCACCTGTTTAGGCAGGCTGCATCCTCACGTGGTGAAGGGTGGTTTTCATGGTCTTCGAACCTTTCACCATTTCAGGACCATTCAGGATTTTCAGACTGCCAAAAACTCTTACTTGACCGCTTCAGAACACCCTTTACCACTTTAAGATGCAGCCTGCCTAAACAGGTGGTTTTCAGGGTCTTCGGACCTTTCACCACTTCAAGACCATTCAGGATTTTCAGACTGCCCAAAACTCTCACTTCATAATTTTCATT